TCCCTTGGTGTTCGTCATTTGGGGTAATTACTGGAAGACGGCGGTTCCAGCCAAAAGCCAAATAAACTTTTCTTTAAAAAAGAATTATTTATTTAATTTTATTTATCTTTAATATTTTTTTATTTTGACCAGAGAGAGATAAAGAGAGAGAAAGTGAGAAAGCTAGCGTCCATGTCCGGGACTTAAACTGTAGTCGGCCATGTAGGAGTCCAGCATCCAGCCCCAAATGAACTTTTTTGAGTTTACGAGGAACACAAATACCAAGCTTTTTAATATATTCCAGCTTCTTCAGGTGGTTGTGAATGCTTGAATGGTGGATGTTTAAGGTTTCTGTGATCTCTTGTATTGTAAAATGTGGGTTTGAGTCAGTCGATGCCTTTATTTTGTCATCATCATCCTTGTTGGGCCTCCCTGACCAAGGAATGTCATTGAGATCAAAATAACCAGCAGAAAATTTTGTGAACCACTGTTGGCACTGACATTCTTGTAGAGCTTTGTCACCATAAACTTTACACAGCTTTTTTTTTTTTTGGAGGTTTTTGCTATAGGGCATGTGAACTCGCCAGAAAGACAGAGAGACAGAGAGACAGAAAGCGAGAAATCAACCCCCCCAAGGGGGGATGGCCATGCCACAATTCCTTCTCCTCCATTCTCCTCTCGGGATCTTGGGCAAGCACACACATGCTCCTGGTGTGAGTTTAAGTCACCAGGTCTGGAACTCGAACTCGAACCGTGGTCGACTACATGGGAGTCCAGCGACATAGCCATTACATCAACTGCTGGTCCCAACTTTACACAACTTTTCACAAGTTTGATGTGCGTTCTTTTTACAGATATAAAACAGTAAAATATGGTAAAAATGCAGTTTGGTCTTCCATCATCAACTTGTTGTAAAATCTCCCAAACTGAATGAAATCGTTTATTTTTTTTAAATTTTAGAATGAATTAGAACTTTCAGTGTCAAAATGACATAGCAGTAACATAGATGTGAAGACTTTAGTACTTCCAAAAACGAACTAGTGCTGTCTGTTTCAAAAATGCATGATGACTTTTCTAACAAACCAATACTTGCCAGAGAGAGGCAGAGAGGGAGAGAGGGGGAGAAAGCACACTGCAATGGGCGTAGTGATGCCTGCATCTCTTCCCTTCCATTTCTTCATTCCGTTGGGATTTGGGACATGTACACACATACACATCCAGCATGTTTTTTAAGCTATTGGGGCCAGGATTTGAACTGCATGGTTAGTCATGTGGGATTTGGTTCCCCAACCACTATGCCACAGGACAGGACCTTGAAAATATTTTTGATGGGAACCAGCAGATGGCATAATGGTTGCGTCACTGGACTCCCATGTAGTCGACCATGGTTCGATGCCCAAATTCTGCAGCTTAAAACTCATGCTGGGTGCATGTGCATGTGTTACCCAAAATCCCGAGAGGAGAATGGAGGAGAAGGGATTGTGGCATGACCATCTCCCCTAAGGGGTGATTTCTCGCTTTCTGTCTCTCTGTCCCTCTCTGTCTCCCTGGCAAGCGTACATGCACTATAGCAAGAAATCTCTTTTTAAAATAATAGTTTTGATGACCTGAGCTCCCTGAAAAGGTCTTGGAGACTCCCAGGGGCCTGCAGATCACCCTGGTCTACGGTATGGCCCTTTCCTTTAACAAGCTTATAATCTGTCTTCAGATTGACAAAAATCATAAACATAAAATAATAAAAATAAAGATCACATATATCATTGTATCACACAACTGAGTACTATAGTTTTTTATATTGATTTATTTAATTTTATTTATTATTATTTAATTTGCTATAGGGCATGTGTGCTCACCAGAGAGAGGCAGAAAGAGAAGGAAAGTGAGAAAGCAAGCCTCCAGGCGCAGAATTTGAACCATGGTTGG